CCAACAGCCCTGCACGGCCCCTCGCGCTGCAGCCAGGACAAGGCGGGGACCCCGCAAGGAGTCCGGAGAAGAGCAAAGAGGAACACAGGCACCGGTGACCCGGCCGAGCTGGCCACACACTCCCTTCCACGAGCCGGCCCAGCCGGCTGCCTGCCGGGATGGAGGGAACACATCTCTTCCCTCCTTGCGTCTCGGTGGCCGGCCGGAGGGCCGCCGAGAAGCAGGAGGGTGTGCTGGTCGACCGGCTCGGGTCACCCACACACCCCCCGGCTAGCCGCGACCGGCCGCGGAAAGGCGGCAACAGTCACCTCTCACATAGCCCTGCCGATCCAATCTCCGCACAGCGCGCCCGCCGGCTCAGCTCAGGCACGACCGCTGCAGTCTCGCCTAGCAGGCGGACCTCCTGGGACTCTGTCCCCGTCGCCAAGGCCACACGTCAGCCCTTTGCGCTCCAGCTGCTGACTACGAGCGCGACATCATAGCAAAGCCACCACCAGGTGGAGCCCCACAACGACCTCAAACACCAGCGAGATCACCAGAGGTCTCTGAGCTGGAAGAGCAGGATGTTCAAAATCACCCTAAGGGGCCCAATCGGCGGGGTCCCCTGGCCTCCAAGGGGGGAGGGGGGACCGCGGAAAGGAGTAGGCGAGTGAGTGCGCGTGCAGGCAGGGTGGAGGGAGCCTTTGAATCCGGAGATAGATCAATCACCCGGGGGGGGGGGGGTACGACAGCTAAAGCGAGGTCTGTTTGCCTGCCTGCCTGCCTGCCTGCCTGCCTGCCTGGTGCCTGGTGCCTGCCCGCCTGCCCACCTGCCTGCCCAGGAAACACAGAGAGTCCAAAACAAGCCACCTGAACAAGCTGCTGCAGCCCCAAGGAGGCAAAGGGCCAAGGGGCTCAGGCCAGCCCGGCAAACAAATCGCTACAAAGTGGGGTTGAGGTTGACGTTGTACTTCTCGGAAGCGTATAAATAAAGACACATGCTACAGTGGTTGTGCTCTCTCTCTCTCTCTCTCTCTCTCTCTCTCTCTCTCTCTCTCGATATATATATATATCTCGGCGACTTACAGCAAATTATATCTACAGCTAGGAAAATCTTCAGGTGACCCTGATAAGTACCTCAATGTCTTTCAAGGATTTGCTCAGATCCATAGAAGCTAGGCTGGGAAGATGCAATGTCACTCTGAACGTCAATGACTTCTAGTGAGAGACAGGCAGTGTTACAAGTCGCTATTGCATTTGGACATGAGAGATGAGTATCATACCGTTCACTTTAGAAGACCAGAAGACAGAGAGGCAGGGGAACCACCAATTCCCAACGGTGCACAATCTTGGTTGGTTCCCAACCAAGACCCCGAGTGGCCTGACAACAATGTAAGAGATGAGAACAAGAGACACTTTTCCAGACGTGTATTCTTGAAGGTCTGAGGAGGATAAAATCCAAGCCTTCTAGTTATTTTACATTGTCAAGTACGTCTCTAAAGAAAGGTGAAAACCGCTCTGACTTCTTAGGTCATTTATCAGAGGCACTCATGAAACATGGATCCATAGATCCTGATTTATACAACTGCAAGTGTGTGTTTTTAAGTCCTGTATTACTTGTACCCTTACACTGTTTTGTTTTGTTCCCTTAAAAAAAAAATAGACCCTGATTCAACAGAGGGGCAGATTTTGTTTAAAGACATGTTTATTACCCACTTAACTCTGGTCATTAAAAGAACAAAACAACAACAGCAGCAACAACAACAAAACAAAACCTACCAAAGGTATCCATTGCTCCAGATAGTTCTCCTGACTCTTTAATTAAAAAGTGTTTCCTTAGTATTCTATAATCAGGACAGGGAGAGAACAGAGAGAACCACAAAAAAAAAAAAAAAAAAAAAAAAGAAGCCCCCCCCCCCACACACACACACACACCATGCCCTGACTGCGCAGGGGACCACTGCCTGCCCTCTGAGGCCAAGGCCCCAGAGTTCAGACCCATCCTATCCTATCAGCTGATCCAATAGGACTCAAGGTCCTCGGGGCACTTGCCTCCTCGCGCTGGACCCCTTTGGGTCTCTCAACTAACGTATCTGCCAAAAACAAAACAAAACAACGAAAAGTAAATGTTTAAAATGAAGAAACAATGTTACACAGTGAATTTATTAGATATATATCTATGTGTGTCTATCTTCAGGAGTAACTGCTGTGTGTAAAACAACACACGTGTGAGTCTGTGTCTGTCTCTCTCTGTGTTTTAACACAGGCCCTTTAAATCTCCCCACCCCCATCACCTTTCACTCAAGGCTTTCACTGAAGGCAGAGAGGCCTCCGCGGCAACACCCACCCCACCTTCTCTCTCACACAGGCCTAAATCCATTTGGATCCTCCACTTTACAAAAGCATTCTACGTAGATCACTTTACATCCACCTTTGTGTCTGGAACGAATTCTTTTTTTTTTTTTTTTTTTTTTTAATTTAAGAGGAAAAAGAGAAAAACACAAAACAAACCAAAGCGGCGTAAGGGTACACGCAATACAGAACTACAAAACAAAACAAAACAAAACAAAACAAAAAAAACATAACAGTAAGAAATTACCTGCTAGTAGATTACACACTATCTTCTTGAAAATAGTTCCTCAAATCACAGTATCAAATAACACAAGGTGGACATTCAAACAGGGAGACTGCAAACAGCTGTGTTCAATGTTCCAAAAACATTGATAAAGTCAGCTATTTAACACCCCCAAACACACTTGCTGTTATATCCGTTAGAGCTCTTTTTCTGTTTTTTTTTTTTTTTCCCTCTCTTTTTTACAACAAAATTTACACATCTTGTATTTTATTACTCCTTAGTGCTTATTACTTTCTTTGGGGGGGGGGGGAGAATACATTCAAATATGGCAAAACAAAGCTGTCAGTCAATACCAAGGATAGACATAGCACATGGTGTAGAACAGAGTACAAGTTTATCAACAATGGTTATCAACGTTGTCCCTTGTTTCCTTAAAAAGAATTGTCTATCTTATTAGATATTATAAAGTTGGACAAAACAGTAGAGAACAAGACCAATAAAACTTAGGCATTGTAAACATTACAGGACTTCCAAAGAAGACAATAGTCAAACCAGAATGGGTATCTTAGTGAATCTTATTGTCTTCAAAGTACTTGCCTATGTCTTCAAACTTGATACTATCATATAGAATGGAACAGAGTCTAATCAGTCAAAACAAGATCGTGGGAGTACTACAGGACTTCAAAACAAGTTAATAGGAAATCGAAAAGAGTTACTATTTATATATCCTAATTTTTTTGAATTTTTTCTTTAATTAAGACAAACATAAGAAATGACTAAATAATTTTTTTTGAAACAATAAGGGGGAGATTGAGATAAAACAGGACATAACAATATAACAATAGAGGTCACAGCATGACTGTTTCAATAACCTAGTACTTCACCACCTTATAACCTGACTTAATAGTAGTTACCATAGTGTCTTTTTCCTTGAAATATTTGGGTAAAACTTCATATACTCTAGCTTCAAATATTTTCATATCAAGAAGCCCAGAATAAAGCCTTTCTAATTAATGAGTGAAAACTTTATAAGGCTTCAAGGCCACCTAATGGGGAATCATGATTACCACATATTTTTATATATTTGAATCATTATTTACATTAGGGAAACTATTCGGTATTCACACATGCGAGATTGATTTATTTCACTAATGAGTATGGTCTCATGGAACGAATTCTTTACACAAGGGCACAAAGCAGGGGACGCAAGGGTGGGCGAGGGGAGGAGGGGGAGGCGGAGGCCAAAGCCGAGGCCGAGGTCGAGGCAGGGAGAGGGACAGCAAGGTCAGCTCAGTGGCAGTTCCGGGATCAGAGGCCCAGGGGCCCGGGACCTGGGGTAGGGGAACTGCGCTAGGGCCGGATAAAGCCGGAACCAGGAGAGAGACGGGCCCCCGAGGCGCGGTAGGGGAGGGGGCGGCGGCCGGGGAGTGGGAGTGGTGAGCGAGGAGGCGAGGAGGCGGGCACCGGAGGGAATGAGGGGGCTGGGAGGCCGTGAGCGGAGGAGCTCCCCTACAAGCCTTTCCCTCCCTCTCCCCGGTTGTTTTGTTTTGTTTCGTTTCGTTTCGTTTTTGTTCTTGTGTCTTTCTAGGACACATTCAGGAGGGCAGCAAAATCCAGCCGAAAAAACGAGCGACTTCCTAGATAACCCGCCCCCCCCCCCACGCGGACGCACGTAGACGCACGCACGCACACTGCGCAGGCGCACACTCGGCAGACGCGACAGCCCCCTCCCCACCCCCGGCAGCGGCGTCCGAGGGGGGGAGGGGCCACCACACACAGAAGCGGTTCCTATGCCGATGCCCCGCCCCCGTGACCCCGTGACCCCCGCGCCGCGCACTCGATCCCTCGCTCGCGCACACCGCGCGGCCCGCCGCCCCTGCCGCCGCCCCGCCCCCCCTCCCCCCCAGCCCCGTCTGCCTTCCTACACTAAATAAGCTAGCTGTATTTCTTTCCCCTCCTCTCCCCTCCCCAGTGACATTCAGCCCCGAGAAATAGAGCAGAGGAGGCCCTGAAAATCAGCTCGGGGTAGGGAGAAGAGTGGGATGTTGTTGGATCCTGTACCCTGGGGCACAGGAAACACGGCAATGGTAAAGGACAGGCCAAGGAGGAAGGAAGGAAAGAAGGAAGGAAGGAAGGAAGGAAGGAAGGAAGGAAGGAAGGAAGGAAGGAAGGAAGGAAGGTGCAGTACCCCACAGGCCCAGGGCCCTGGATGAAGCTCAGTGACATCAGCACCTGCCTGGCAGGTCCAAAGTCTTGAGTATGATCCCTGGTACTAATACTAATATGAATACGAGTACTAATACTAATACTAATTCCCCAGCACCAGGTCGTGGCAGTGGAGATATCCCTCCAAAAACCAGGCAAGGCACTCCACACCCGATATCATTGCAGTGTGTGTGTGTGGGGGGGGGCGGTTTGCTGAGACAGGCAGGAGGTATACGAGATCTTTGTTTTCTTTTTCTTTCTTTCTTTCACTCATTCTCTTTCTTTCTTTCTTTTTTTCTTTCTTTCACTCATTCATTCATTCATTCATTCATTCATTCCAAGCCACTCTGTACCACACACAGAGACCCTGTGACTGACTGTATTAAAAGACAGAGAGCAGGGGCTGGGGATTTAGCTCAGCGGCATAAGCACCTGCCTTGCAAGCAGGCGGTCGTGAGTTCGATCCCTGGTACCGGTAAAAATGAAAAAAAAAAAAAAAAAAAAAGACAGAGAGCCGAGGGTTTAGCTCGGGCCACAGAGGTTTAGCTCAGCGGCATAAGTGCCTGCTTGGCAAACTCGAGGTCGTGAGTTCAATCCCCAGTACCAATCAATTAATCAATCAATAAATGGCAGAAAGCCAAGTCCAGGGACACCCCTAGGTACCCGCCAGGCCATGGCAGTGAGAGACAGGAAGGCCACGGGCCAGGGATATAGCTCTGCAGCACAGCACCTGCCTGGCAAGCATGAGGCCCTGAGTTTGATTCCCAGGACAAAACTTGAATATAGGACCGGGGATTTAGCTCAGTGGCTTAAGCCCTTACCTGATAAGCACAAGGTCATCAATTTGATGTCCATTGCAAAAAAGAAAGAAAAAAAAAAAAAAAGTGAACACAAGCATGAATGAATAATAAATAAATAAACAAATCACTAAATAGGGCCAGGGATATGGCGCAGCGGCATAAGGGCTTACATGGCAAATGCAAGGTCCTGAGTTTTAATTCCCAGTACCAAAACATCCACCCATCCATCCATCCATCCATCCACCCATGCATACATACATACATACATACATACATACATACATACACAGGTAAATAGATAAAGGTAGGCCGGCAAACCAGGGCCAGACAGAGGGACACGGCCCAAGAGCTGAGATACATACATCATACCGCCCAAACAACAGATAGGTGGTGCATGCCCATGCACCCGACGGGCGGGCAGGAGAGATGGAAGGACAGACAGCCAGGAATCCACGGAGGTTCTGGCTAGCCCATGTGACCAGATCCCAAAGTGAAAGGCAGGGATGTGTCTCCCCACCAGGAGGCCGGCTACCGTGGTCCGACCTAGATCCCCAATCTCCCACACCAGTGTGTGGCGAAGGCCGGAATAAATGAGACGGAGTCGTATGATTTTAAGGCTCCAGGGGGGTAAAATCCCTCTCACAGAGTTCTCGACTCTGTGGCTACAACGAGGGCCAAGACAAAGAGAGAGCTTCGGCCTGCAGATTTAGCTCAGTGGTGTAAGCACCTGTCTGGCAAGCCTAAATTCAATCCCGAGTACCACACACACACACACACACACACACACACACACACACACACACACAAAAAAAAAAAAAAAAAGACAAAGTGCTTCTCCGGGCCACCCCTACCTACCTATAGGGGTGCAAACAAAGAGTGGGGATACTGAGGAAAGTCCCCCCACCCCCACCCAGGGGAAGGGCAGTGAGCAGGACCTTGGGAGTCACTTCAAAGAATTCTCCAAGTAGCCAGTTATGCCAGTTTAGGAGAGCCGGTTCATCTCCAGGACGACGGTAGGAGTGAGACTGCATGCACTAGAGGCCGACAGCCACAGTCTCTATGTACTTCATGGGTGTCCGAGCCAGGCAGGTGTCCTCAACTGTGGACTCATCTTGCCTTTTGAGGCATCTCTGGCATCTCAGGCCACTGCAGGCCTCAGCCAGGACCCGTGGAGTTTCATAGAGGTTCACTCAATAGAAATCAGCTCCCATCGCCAGGCAAGAGGCCTACCTAGCCCCAGGAAAGACTCAACAGATAAAACACAGAAAGCCAATCAGTTAGTTCATTTTCTTTTTTTTTTTTTTTTGGTACCGGGGATCGAACTCACGACCGCCTGCTTGCAAGGCAGGTGCTTATGCCGCTGAGCTAAATCCCCAGCCCCTCAGTTAGTTCATTTTCAATCCTGCTCAGAGCCGCTTCCTACTGGTCTCCAACAGCCCATCAGTCAGATCACATCAGAGAGGGATCCAAACTCACTGGGACCATCCGGGCCAGTGACTAGGCGGGTGGGCTGGCTCCCACGGGAAACAGGAACGGGGAACATGAGAAGGGACACACTGCAGGGACAGGAGCAGCAGGAGACCTGGGGCGGCAGGAAGGTGCAGGGTCAGAATGGGAGCACCATCTTGGGTTTTCGCAAAGAAGCAACAGGTCTTCAACCGCCTCCCCAAGGACAGCCGGCCATCTCACCGGACATCTGCAGGAGGGAAGCCCTCCCCCAACCCCCACCCCACCCCACCATGCCTTCCATCCATCCATCCATCCATCCACCCACCCACCCAGCCACATGTCATCCCCGGGCACATAGAACACCTCCACTCCCCTCGGCCGACGCTCCCGTCACAGCGTTTCCCTCCCTTGGCAGCGTCTGCATTCAGTGGGTCTGGCGGCAACTACCACCCTCTCCACTCCACAAATTCCTTGGGTGTTTTGTACAGTTTTCTGTGTTTTATTTTATTTTTTTGTTTTTTTCGGTAACAGGGATCGAACTCACGACTGCCTGCTTGCAAGGCAGGCGCTTATGCCGCTGAGCTAAATCCCCAGCCCCAGTTTTCTGTGTTTTAGTTTCAAAACAGGACTAGGGGTTGGGGGTTTAGCTCAGCGGCATAAGCACCTGCCTTGCAAGCAGGCGGTCGTGAGTTTGATCCCCGGTACCGATAAAAATGAAAAAGACAAAAAAAAAAAAAAAAAAAAAAAAAAAAAAAAAACAGGACTGCCAGAGGTGGGGGCACAGTAGCTGCACACCCACAATGTGTGTCCTGTGACAGCCCCCTTGAACTAAGGCCATAGGCTACTGTTTCAAGAGTGCCAAAAACAGTCTGTACTCTTGCAATCAGACACCTGTCTTTCTGCTGTTTTCCAGCTGTTTCCCAGATCCACCTTTGTGAGCGTCCTTGCAGTCCCCAGCAACCTCCTGTGCCTGCAATGAACATTTTTCCTTATGTCTTTGTCTTTCAACTGCATCAAAAAAACCTAACAGAAGAGTCCTCATGAATAGCATGACTTCTGCCCAGGCACTATCCCCCAGTCAATCCTCAATCTGGGTCCGCCTAGTGTTCTGGTGTTGTCATCCACTCACACTGGTCCCAAAGATGTGCCCTGCATACATTTTTTTCTGAATTATAGCCCTCACCAGAGGTTCCCTTACATCCTTGGGGACAGAAGTCCCTGTGAACTCTTGTGCTGGAGTCTTTCTGTTGAAGTCGCAAAGTGAGAAGAGCCCTGAGCTCTGGGCCTGTCACATTCAGTTCAGGTCTGGTTACCTGACCTTGAAAGCCTGTCACTTATACTACTGACCTGGCTCCTCTTCTAATATGTGGAAGGGGAACTCAGTACAAACTTAAACACATGCTCACCTGGCCTTGGGTACTACCAGGCATGAGGCACTCACAGCTGCTGTCCCAGGCACCACTGTTGCCCAGATATCCTCATATCCAGGATGCATGCAGGATGTCTTACTTCCACAAAGGACCCTTCAGACTGCTAGTGGAACAAAGATCTGTTCTGGAGGTGGAAGGAAACAGGCTGTGATCCCAGCCCCACTGCTCACCCATTCACCTGGCTCCTAGAGCAACATTCAGCAACCTGCTCTGTAATTAGTGGTCAGAAAAGGGTGGCCTTGCCTACCCCTAAGGAACTGTCTGCCCTCCCCACTCACAACGGTGGAGCAGCAAGTGCTAACAATTGCATTCCTCCAGGCCACAGTACGCAGTTAGGAAAAAGGTGGCTTCGTGATGATTGAGTGGCTCTGTCAATCTGAGATGCAATACCTAATTAAACTGCCTCAGCATAGCTCTTGGTGTGGAAGACCTGTCCCAGGGCTGATTACGGTGCAATAGGGAAATGAGGAAGGAAGGCTGCTTCTGTTTGCTTTGGAGCTGCTCCAGTCTTCTTTCACACTGGAGCCTTCTCCTGGCTGGTCACACAGACTCTTCAGACTCCAGCACCCACCCTTCAGCTGTGGAGTGAGCTGTCTGTTCACCCTCATCACAGACCCTTACGCATACTGACGTGGACTCATGTGGGACACTACACTGCACTCTAGGCGGTGGCCTGCATCTTCCCAGAGGGAACTTTCATATTTTCACACTAGACTGTGGGCAGCCACTGTAAATCAATCTTGAAAAGTGTTACACATGTGTATAGCATGTACTGAATCTGCTGATAGATACCACGCTCAAGAACAAAGCTGGAGGCACCATGATTCCAAAGCCTGAGCACGGGGCATCAGACTGTATGGCAAACACAGACATGAGCAGTCAAAGTGAAACCAAGTTTACCAGGAACCAGGAAGGAACTGAAAAAAGAAAAAAACCAGATTGCACCATACAGCAGAAGAAATGGAAAACATTACAGAAGAAACAGGGAACCCTCTGCAAATGATGTGGCTTCGAGCAGCTGGCCAGCTGCCATCCAGCAGATGAGGTAAAACTAAAAACTTTGCACTCACATAGAAATGAAGGAGGTAAACTCACAAGAGTATCAAAATCCAAAGGACAGTAACTACTTTGAAAAATTATGTTCCCAAACATTGGCCAATTTTAAAGAAATGGACATATTCTCAGACAGATATAAATTACCAAACATGACTCAGGAAGACAGAAATATGCTTAACCCAAGAACAAGCAATGAAATTGACACTACAACAAAGAATCCATCAACCAAAAAAAGACTTGGACCAGATGAATTCACGGCTGAATTCTACAGTCTTTAAGGATGCTCCTTCACCAATGATTCTCATGCTCTAAAACACACTGAAATGGATAAGAGCGCTCCAAAGTTCAGGCACAGAAGTATCATCCAGATTCCCAAACTGGACAAAGACCAAACCAAAAATACAACTGCACCCCATCTTCATGGACATCCATGCAAAACTAGGAGCCAGCGTTTGATGGTGCACGCTTGTACTCCTAGCCTGTAATCCGAGGGAAGCTGGTGCAGCAGCATCACTGCCAATTCAAGGCCAGCACAGGCTACTAGTAAGCTAAAGGTCAGTCTGAACTGTACAGCAAGACCCTGTCTGAAAACAAGAAACAAAAGAACACAAAACAAAAACCTAAACCAAGCAAACAAAAAGTTAAACAGGATATTAAAAAACAGAATGCAGCTCATCATCAAAAAGATCATATACTGTCCACCAGGATCGATAACCCCAGAGCTCAGGAGGCTGAGGCAGGAGGACTGCGGGAAGCGCAAGGCCAGCCTCGGCTAGTAGGGGGTTTAACACCAGCCCCAACTACATATCAAGACCCTGTCTCAAAATAATTAACAAAAAAAGAAATGAGACAAAACAACAAAAACGATAAAGATCACACATCATGATCAAGAAGATATCATCTTAGAGATGCAAGGATGATTCAAAATACATAAACCGATAAATGCAATGTATAGAGAGACCACACGGAATCCATTTTGTCCCAGACACATCCAGTTCACAATGTTATGGGAAAAAGTACAGGCCTTGAAACATCGTCCCCACCCCAAGATAAAAACACAAGGTCCTGTAAGGTCAAGAAGCAAAGAAGTTATATAAGCTAAGCATGGGCAATTTGAGTTTCTTGGTTATTTATCTCAATAAAAGCTATTTGTTTAGGCTGGCCAGGTGGCAGCCATTTTGCTGACCCTTAGTGTGTGTGACCCTTTATTTTCCCTTTGGTTGAAGAACCCCAACATCTGGTGCATGGACAGCGGAGACCTCTGCTGCGGAGGGTGACTTGCCTTCACTGTGTTCCTGGGGTAGGACACAGTAGCCAACCCATGCACTTCATTTTCTTTGGGAAATCCCTGGTGAGTCATGGGGAATCCCCTGTCTGAGGCGCAGCAGAAACACAGGGCAGGGATGCTTTTTCTCCTTAACAAGGCAGGCCATGGGCTCCTGGGCATAATTTAGTACAACCTTTGTGAGAAACTCATGGTCATTGTCTGGGGTATCTTGAGGGAGGAATGCTCATACTGGAGAATAGGGAAAAGATGGCCAAACTGCTGCTTGCGGCGCCTCGAGCCCCAACCTCTGTCCTGCACACCTGGCAGCTCTGCGGGGCGCTGCTGCCACCTTTGGCCAGTGAGCAGATGGACACCGCGTGGCAGCCTTCCAGGTGTTCCCGGTGCTGCTTCAGCTGTCTCCACCTTACCTGGGTAGGACCCTATTTTCCTTTGACCACGCAGCAGTTAGCTCCTCTGTTGGTGCTTTAACGGGCAACCGAGATCCTGCTGATGTGATCTCTGACTCTCCCCTTTGGAGCACTGCTCACACAATCACCACGTTATGGTGGATCGGGTCCCACAGGACTGCCCTCTCCTGACTCCTTTTATATTCATTCCCTCTGCCTGCAGGGGCTCTTGTTGCCGTCCAGAACAAGGTATTTATTGTTGAATGGTTACATTTACCCTTCTTGCTTGGTAGTACTGTATTTCCTATTATCAATGCTATTTCTTCTCTTATCTCTTGAGGACTTACTGGTGCACTTGCACTCCTTGGAACTGATCTCACTGATACTGTTTTCTCACTTACCAAGGCTGACTTCTCCTTTCTGCTATCCTCTACTGTTTCTCTTTAGGTCTCTTTGGCTATGTTAGTTCCATTTTTTCAAAACACCCCCAGACCCAGGCTGGATCTCCTGCTGATCTGGGGAGGAGGGGATGCTTCTGTGTTACCCTGAACAGACCATGTGTGGATTCCTGCTTATTGCATTCATCCTGCATGGATTGAGTTGGCACCATCGGTGCACAACCCGACTCCACAGTTTCGCCTCTCCCTAAATCAAACCCAGCTGCCTTGGAAGTGAGTGACCCAGGATGACAACTGCTCAGCCAGTGACCTGATAGAAAGGTGCTGATCCAGTCTGCATAAGACTTGCTCCATGTATCTGAAGAGGAATGCACTGCTAAAAAGCTTCATGTGGTAATATTTACCAAACTAAGAATTAACTCTTTAATGCTTGTTTGTATTCTATTGCTATGACTTTTACAATCCACCATGGGGACTTTAGAGTCTCGCAACCTCCAAGAAAGACTGGAATACAATATTTGGGAGATACAATATTGGCAAAAATATCTAATGTCTCTCATTTGTGTCTTGTTGAAAACACAGAAATGAAATACCTCCTCAGGTCCTGTCTGGTTCCAGGATGCAAGGACCCTGCCTCTATAAGTAATTAAACCATTTTTTCCACAATTCTAAGCAAAATTGTCACATATGCTGACTTTCCAAATTGGGCCCCTCCCACCCTTGAAAACCCTGATAATGCTGTTAAAGTGTTCCCTCCATATGTAGCAACTTCAAATGCCTCATGTGCTTCTACTGAAAATTGTACTGCTTAATGTCTTTGCCTTCCCAGTAATACTTGGAATTGTTCAGTTATGAGCCAGTATTTAGGGACATGGACATGGCCCTCTCCCTGCTGGATGGTTTTTCTCATGTGAAGAGTAGACCTTCAATTACATCCCTGCTAACTTATCTCAGAACACAGATGCTGCCTTAGTCACCTTACTGTATTGTTGCCTTCTCCAGAATGTACAGTCTCGCACCAAGCGGTCTACAACTAGTCTCACTGACCTATGCGGGGACTTTTCTATCAGCCTGTTAAACAAAGCAGAAATTTATGCTTTAGGTATTTCACTGGTTGGTGTGCCTGCCCTGGCAGCCAGGGCCAATTGCAATGTTAATGCACTAGCTTGTCTCATGGCAAAAACAACTAAAATATACTTTTATAGTTTTGGCATTATTAAACAAAGAACAAAGTGAGCAGTGACAAGTGATTTTAGATAATTGTGCTGCAACTGATTATTCTATTGCATCCTCACGGATGTAATGAAATTGCTCAAGTGTGCTGTTTTAATTTGTCTGATGAAAGTAAATCCATCAATGGCAAACTTCATGATTTACAAGAACTTACCAGACAGATATACGCCTCCCAAGTGCTCAATGCAAAATTATGGAATTTCCTTACAGGATGGTTACCAGATATCAACCAGCTAAAATAAATTTTTTTGTTTTACTGTCCTTACCTGCTTATCTGGTAAGGGATGCAAAATGTTGATACCTAAAATGCCAGCTTCTAAAATGGTAACAAAGTCTAAACTAAAAAAAGAAGGGGGAGATGTAGAGAGGCCACATTGATTCTATTTTGTTCTGGACACACCCAGTTGACAATATTATGGGAAAAAGTTGAGACCTTGAAACATAACCCCCAACCCAAGGTAAAAACATGAGATCCTGTAAGGCCAAGAAGTTAACAAGTTGTATAATCTAAGCATGAGCAATTTCAGTTTCTTTGTTCTTTATCTCAATAAAAGCTACTTGCTTAGGCTGCAGCCATTTTGCTGTGCCTTAGTGTGTGCGTCCCCTTAT